ATAATTTACAGCAGTGTCTGGGCAGCAGCTATAAAGAAATGTGTTCATACTCTAACAGGGAAACCAATAAATATACACATTACGTGATACACAGAATGTAATGATTATAAAGAGCCTCAGGTCAGCACAGGGCAAGATTACTGTCCAAGGGAGTTACCAAAAACATATCTGGTTTTCAGGGATTTGGAGGTTATGAAATTGCTGATGACAGACTTGGGACTAGTACGTGTTTACATGTGGCCTGTGACAAGTTGGAAAATGCGCTTCGAGTCACATTCCCAGAAAGAGGCATTATTCTTACTTCGCAGAAGAAGAAAGTGAGACTAGACAGGGTAGTGACCGCCCAAGGCCAGCACGCAGAAAGCTGAGAGGTTGAAAGTCTCGGGGATTTTTATGACATTACTTTGAAGCCTCCTTACGTTTTAAACCCCCCTGTGATGTCTGCATTCTCCCCTACAGCGTATCTGTGGGGACTCTTTGCAACCCGTTTGTGGCGGTGAGCACACTGCAGTGGGTACACAAGTAGAAATATGTTGTACACACGAAACTTATGTAATCTTATAAATAGATGTAACTTCAATTAAAAAAAAAATCTCAGAATCCAGAGCATTGAGTAAAAGTACCAGGTGACAGACTTTTCTCACGAGTCACAGACTCAAGGATGAATGAGGAGGGGTTTCCTCAGGTGCATGAGGGGCAGGACCACAGCTCTGAGCCTGTGATCCACCCCTGTCACCTCTCTGTCCCCCAGGCTGGTCCCAGGGGACACAGCTCCCACTGGCTCCACTCAGCCCAGCTGGCCCGTTTATACACAGGAGACGGTCTTGATTCTGAGGAGAGCTGATCCTCAGGGCTCCCACAGCCCGGCCTCCCTCATGGGCCCCAGAGTCTGCTGGGGGCCCCCTGGCTTCTAATCTGTGCCCCCCCTTATGTTTATACTTGTCCACTTTGTTGTCCTGGACAGCACTCTGTCCTGGGACAGAGTGATTTGGTTGTTTAGCAATGCAGTGATGGGGGCAAGGTGGTCCTTAGAAAACAGGAATCAAGGAAACACACTGATGATTTCGGTGTGTGGAGAGTTACTCTTTTCTCTTTCCTGCGTCACTAAGGGTGAAAGGAAACCAGGGCTTCCGTGGGGGGAGCTCCCAGCACTGAATCTGTGTGTTGATTGATTGGGGTGAGGCGGGTGGGGAAATGCCTGAGCGCCTGGGTGTCTGCAGGGGTATCCGAGGGCAAAGGAATCACTACCTGCCTAAGGAAGTCCCTCCTGGTGAAGAGGTGCCCTAAATTAACCTTGGGGGTGGGGGGTGAGAATTCTGGGGTGCAGAGAGGCCCTTCCTGGGACACACAGGAACAGCAACAACACTCAGGAGGACCTGCTCCAGGGCAGGCACTGGCCGAGCCACAGACCTATGTTATATTTGATCCTCAGAACAACATGTGGGAATATCCTTCCCATTTTACAGGGGAGGTCAGGGACGGTGCTCCAGGTCACACAGGTGGCAGGTGGCAAAGGCCAGCCTGGGGTTCTATTCTGGGTCCGCTCACCCTGGCAGAGCAGTGGGGCTGGCAGCAGATTTGGAGGAAGGGTTTCAACTGGTAAGAGCCCAGGGTCTAGGAGCAGGAGGATTCTGGAGAAAGGGAGGGGGCGGAGAAGCCTCCAGGGTTGCTGGTCTATCTCCTCTCTGTGCACCACCCTGCCTTTGGCACATCCCTTGCTACTGTCACCCCCTTCCCAGGGCTTCCCCTGCCCTACTCCTGAGCTTCTGCTGTGTGGTGGGGAAGGGAGGGAGGGAGGGAGTAACTTGGCCATGGGCCCTGAGGAAAAGGCCCACAAGGAGCCTGAGGGGACAAACTCTATGGTGAGTGGGAATCCCCTTGGCCCATTCTGGGGCCTCGAGGACACTTGTCAACCCCTTCTTGGGTCTTGATTCCTCTGTAGGTTAACTCAGCCTGGAGACACCGCCCTCATACTAGGGCACAAGGAGGAAGCAGGCAGAGAAGGGGCAGCTGAGTACCTGGGCAGTGAAGAAGGCCTACTGACGTCATGGTGGCAGCAGCAGGTGTCAGCGTCCTCCCTGCAGCTCACAGGTCTGCGTCAGGCTGGAAGGAGGTGTGGCTTCACCCTAGGGGAAGAGAAGACAGATTGTGGACTGGAACATGAGTGAGCCCTGGCAACAGGGAGCAGCAAGGGGACAGGTCTCTCTCTATTTCCCCCATGAGGGCCACCAGCGCCACAGTGGACTCAACCCAACGTCTTTCTCTGTCTACTGGGCTGTGCTGGTGGCTATTCAGGGAAAGTTCCTCACATCATGCAGCTCCCTCCCAGCCAAGTCAGAGTCCTGTTGTCCTGTTGGGGCCCAAGGAGAGGTTATCAGACAATAGACGGCCACTTGCAAAGTTTAAGAAGCAACAAAACTAAACACAGACACACTGGAATTTGACACAACACTGTAAAATGATTATGAATCAAATAAAAATAGTAAAAAAAAAAAAACTAAAACAACAGACAGAAAGATAGGAAGAGAATTCTCTGCAAATTACGTGAGGGTGGGGACAGCTGTGGTAACTACTTAGTAATAGTTAATATTGCTCCAGGGTCTATGACGCGCAGAACTGCGGAAACGCACCTAAACTTAGCTTAGCCCAAGTTTTCCCTCTGGTGCTGCAGCCTGAGCATGGACCCAAGGCTTTCTGACCCAGATCCCCCAATTATGATGACTGTGCTCTACTCCCTTTAATGACCGATAACATTTATTCATGGATATATGCTTATTGTAAATGACTCTTCTCATTCTAAAACTGTCTTTTTTATATACAATTATTTTATTGAGATACGCATCACATATAACAAATGGCATAAATCTTCAGGGTACACCTGGATTAGATTTTACCTATTGTAATTCTGTAACCAGCAGCCACATCAAGAAATCAAACATCCCAGCAGCTCCTCAAAATTCTCCTGCTCCTTCTTCCTGGTCAATACTTGGTCACCCGACAGCACCCACCACACTCACCTCTATCACACCAGATTAACTTGCCTGTGTTTAAATTTTATACAAATGGGATCACACAATGTATTCTATTTGATGAATGTACCAGATTTTATTGATCTATTCTCTGAATAGATATTTGAGGTGCTTCAATTTGGGGTCTATTATAAATAAAGCTGCCATGGAAATGCTTGTACAGATCTTTTGTGTGGACTTGTGCACTTTTCTGCTGGATATTTCCCCGGAAGTGGACCTGCTAGCTCCCAAGGTACCTACAACACTGGGGCACACACTGGTAGACAGTTTTCCACAGCGGTTGTACTTACTGCTTTCTGCATCTCTGAGCTATTCCCACAGTTACACTGGGTGTTAGTTTTCATGTGTCTGTATCCCAGTTCCCCTGGAGCTCCTTGAGCAGAGGTTCGTATATGATCAATACATAGATTACAGATATAATTAAATAATTATAGCACATGTGAGAAAAAATTGAAATGCATTCATACAGCATGGCGGGGGAGAGGGGGTTAGGAATCTTATTTTTACAACTTGCTTTTGTTAAATTGATGTATAGTTGATTTACAATGTTAGTTTCAGGAGTACAGCAAAGCCACTCTGTTGTACATACACATACATAGATGTCCATATTTTCAGATTCTCTTCCATTATGAGACAGGAGAGAATAGGGCAGGGCACAGCCACTCAAGGAATGACAGCAATAAAAATGGTGGAAGTTTCACTTTGCAGTTGGCCTTGAGGATTAGGACGTTTAACTTCTAGCTGACCTTGATCTTCACTATGTGCTCATTGTAACAGCGTAATCAAATAACATGCCCGCAGGTGCCATGACAGCCCCAAGGCTAACCGCAAAAGGCCAAAGAATGGGCGGTGGCCCAGCCCCTGGGAATCCCAGCCCCTTCCCCAGGGCAGTTGGATTAATCCCACCTGTAGGCATGGGAAGCTCCTGAGACCATAAAAAGTGACAACACCACTCCTAGTGGCCCTTTGCGCGCTCTCTGCCCTTTGTCAAAGGCCTGCACTCTGTCTGTGGAGTGTGTGCCTACTTTTACTTTAACCTGAGCACCTGATTCCCACACCTCTTTCCTTGCCTTTCTCTTGCCTTACACTCCATGCAGTACATAGCTCTCTAAACAACTCTACGTTTACTCAGAGGTGGCTCACAATTGAATTCTTTCCTGCGCGAAGCCAAGGACGCACACTTGGTGGGACATGTCCCAGGGGATCAACGGTGACCAGGGACTCGGCCCTCCTCACGTCCCACACCTGATTTTCTGCATCAATTATACCTTAGGAGTTTGGGATTAATAGAAACACATTACTAAGTATATAATTGATAAACAACAAGGACCTCCTCTACAGCAGAGGGAACTGTATTCAGTTTTTTGTAAGAAGCTATAATTGAAAAGAATCCAAAATT